TCTCGTGGAGGTCTTGCCACCCGGCTAATTCCCCGGCAACTACTTGTTGCGAGTATCGAAGTTCTCGACCGAGGTCATCCACCTGCTCCTGTGACTGGCGGGCTTTCTCTTCCCTCTCCTCATTGAGGCGTTGTCGCGTGTCATCCAGCAATCCAAGAGGCCACCGTGTCGATCTCGTGAGCGAGTTGTAGTTTCGCTCCACGGCCTTGCGCGCAGCCGATATCTGCGTAATTTGCGCTGGCGGCCGCGACAGAGCCGATAGCAGGGCTTGGATCGTCGATTGCGATGCCAGGAACGTCGAGTGGAAGATCCCGTAAGGATTCGATTGCATTGGTACGAGGGTACGGACATAAGAATCCATCGCCGTGATGTATGCTGGTGGAAGGAACGGCAATGTCGAAACAGCGCGGTACAGCAGGAGTGATGCGTCATGAAGATCTGCTCTCGTTAGTCCAGACCAAAACTATTTGATTACCAGAAACAAAACTTACCTGAAGCAACTATGGCGATGGAATTGACCCTTCTTGCCACACTCTTAGTCGAGTAGTTCACACTCCGCACCATCTCCCTTGCATGATCGACGAATTGTTCGACCTCTCGCACATCCTTGACGGGCTCGTACTCTTCCCGCACTTTCTCGGCTCGCGTCTCAGCTTTCAGGTTACTCCTCTGCTCCATCATGCCTAGTTGGATATCAGGCACCAGGAAGAATTCCCAGAGCATCTCGTGTGTTGCGAATGTGGGGTGATTGAGCATGATCTTGAGGAACCAGTCGGCCCTAGTCTGGATATCTCGTAGCACTGCTCTAGACGGCTTCGAAGGTATCTGGAAGGGCGACCGCACACCCGCCACCGCCGGGATCCAGGACGCCGGGTTCTCCAGCGCCAGCAAGTTGCCGAGGTGCTCAAAATCAGACAAATTCCTGCGGCTTGTGGTAACGGTGTAGCTCATGTGGTCGGCTGGGGCTGCCGATTTCAAGACCAGCCGAATGGTCGCATCTTCAACGAAAAAGGCCCTCACAACACCGGTGATACGGGCATCCGCGCCAGGGGGCATGCTGAAGAGCGCCAGGTCATCAATCTTATTCCTGATGTCGTCATCTTTGGCCAATTCAACGGCAGTCAGGCTTCGGATTTCTCGGGCTGCAACATCGACGCGTGCATCCACAAATAGTGTTCTGACCATATCCAGCCTGCCATATTTGCTAGCAACCATTAACGGCGTAAACTTCTTCTCGTTCGTGGCGTTGACATCGACATCGCATTGCTGGAGCACTCTGAGTGCCAGCTGTGGGTCGTTGACAATGTGAAGCAGAGTGTTCCCCTTGGCGTCCACATGATCGTCAATGTGCAGCGGAAGCCCGTCACGCTGCGCTTCCGTGGCCGCATCAAGGCCGGCATCCACCATTTCGCGGTAGTGGATATGGTCATACGACCTGCAGAGTGCAAAAAGCGGCGTCTGCCCATTCTTGTCTTTTTGCCGCCAGGGGACTAATCTCCCGATCCGAGAAATTAGAAACGGGGCGTGGAACAGGTAATGCGCACAACTGCGCCCCCAAATGTCTTGCTGAGCAAAATACTCAATTAAGCGCTCTCTTGCCGCCAGTCTCGAAATGAAGTCGAGAATAATATTAATCAGCTCCGTATGCCCCAGCTGGACAGCAGCGCTAAAAAGCGTTGTATCTTCGTTGTTGATGTCGTCTAGAATGACAGAAAGAGGATAGTACTCGCTCAGCGTCAGCAAGTACCGCAGAACATCGGGCCTTTCGTTTTGCACAGCCATCATCAAAATTGATTCCCCGAATGCATTGTGTGTCTGCGAAAGACGATCGATAGTGATGTCGCCCTCAAGTACGCTTCCAATGGTACCATTGCTGGTCGCCCTCGAGTGGTACGAGATCTCCGAGCCGCTGGACATGCTTCGTGTATCCATGGCAACCCTCTTGACCTTGCGAGGCGGCGGCGGTAAAGGGAAGTCAATCTCACTGCCATCATCCTCGGCCTGGAATGGGAAAACGTGGCTCAGGCCAGAGCCTGATGAGAAGCGATCCGAGATCGTGACTGCTGTTGACGATCTCCTCGAGGCAGACCCGTTGGTGAAGCTCCAGCTGTGAGAGGGGCGTCTACTTGATTCTGGCGAATCATAAAGGTCTTCGTCGAGAATGGCGTTCTCGTCTGGTTCCATGATCTTCTTCAAGTCGTCAAGGCTTCCATTGCAAGTAGCATTCCATAACGCTTTGTTTCGTCGGCTGGCTCTTCGCAATCCTGACGAGTCTAGTGCGAGGTATGCGAGGACAGCTTCGAAGGTGCTCAGTGCATATCCCATCTCACCATTGTCTACGTCATCAATGAAGATAAAGTGACGGATGTAGATGAGCCGAGCGTGCAAGTGCCGAACTTGTGCTCGGATGACCACGAAGAGCAACAGCGAGACTAGCGTGTCGGCATTAACTGTCAAAGTAGGCTTCTCGGTCGAAGAGGCTGCTTGCGCTCGTGAAGACTCTGTCAAATGAGTGACCAGCTTCATGGTCGACAGGAGCAGATCGAGCATCTCTTGTGGGCTCATGGCGTTCGCTGTCTTCTTGAACTCCTCCACAGCCAGACCAAGCTGTATCGTCAACTCATGCTTCCCTCGCGAACCACCTTCTATGGAGATGCCAAGCTGTGATAGATCAATGAACTCCATCTGCCGAATCTTGGCCTCCAACTCGAGATCATAAGGTCGTTTTGATGCACTAAGTCGCGGAAACAGGAGGTGGTGTGTATTCTCGGTGACGTATCTTTCGATGAGTCTTTCGACTAGAGGTCCCGTCAGGTCGGTCGTAGCGCCGAGCATCGAGAGTTGCTGCTTGTCAACCCCCTGGAACAAGTCGATGGCGGCTGTGACAGCAGTCTCCAGGGAAGCCCTCATCACATCTTCGTCGTCCTCGGCGTAGAAGTTCTCCGTCACGGGGAGACCGTTAGTCAACCCATTGGGGCGCCTTGCTGCGGACATGCTGTTGGACCGCGCCTTCCTCATGGCCGTAGTGATGGGTCCGTCGGGCTCGGGGTCGGGTATGCGTAACGCCGAAGGGGGCGGCGGGAGCGGTCGCTCGAACACAGTCGTGAACTCCCGAAACAGCTTTTCTAATCCAGGTTGCATCTGTCGTGCGATGATAGGAAAATGGTTGAGGAGGTCGTGGAAGCTCTTGATGTCCTTCTTCCGGGGAAGCATGGCGCCTTCGCCATTCTCAGCAGCCGCCGCCTGGCTCTGTTCGAGGGCTTTCCTCCTCGCCATTCCCTCCACCAGTATGGCAGGCTCGATCTTGTTCTCTTCCCATACGCCCACCAGTGGCCGCGAGATGTAGTAAATCAGCCATTGGCGGGGTTCAAGGAGGTCGGGATACCATGTCGAATCGTTCAGTAATTGAGCTTGCGCAAGCGACTTGAAGCCTGGGATACAATTGTCAGTCACAGGCGGTTTCGTATTGCATACCCAGGCGCACCTTTGTTACTGTAGACGTGTGTATCTTTGATGACGACTGTGCGACCATTGATGGTCTGATACTGCTTCGCCTTGCCCCTCAGCTCGCGCAGGTTTTGCGCCGCGTCCTTCCCACCCGCAGCAGAGGTTGTATTTGCGGCGGGAATGCGAAGCACATGACTAGCTAGGAACTCCTCCGAAGTGATGAGCTCGTGGAAGGTCGAGCCGCTCTCGACTTCGCGACATGTGAGGAGGACATCGGTGGTCGGGACCAGGAGGATATGGTGATGTACCGGGGTACACTGTGAGGGTAGGGAGCTTCGGAAGAAGGCAGCGAGGAATGGATTTAGGGGTTGCATTCATTCGACTGGCGCTGGACGTCCTCGGCCAGCTAACCCGGCCGGTGAAGCCAGGATTGCAGGGTAAAGGTGAGTAGGTGGTTGAGGGTCGTGGACTTCGGGAGCACGGAGGTGCCGGGGGATCGACGGACTAGGGACGGAACGAAGGCTGGGAATAGGATCGCTGGGTATCGTTCAATGTCGCTGATATGCAGGATGGTCGTCGGCGGTCGTACAGAAGACGCGAGTTGAGCTGGCGGTCGTTGAGGAAGGTGGAGAATGGATCGTGATGAAAGGCAAGTTGTTCGTGGTGGTTGCGATTCCCCTGGACAGATAGCAGTGGAAGGTGTTGAAGCTCTGGTGTGGGCCAGGCAAGCCAGGCACTGACCTCACTGAGGCCGCACGTCCCACTCCCAATGGGCTGCCACTGCCAGGGGGCACCGTGGCCCGATTCGGTGCTGAAGAGGTTCGCTGCCAGCATGCCGTCCCCACAGTGCCGAGGCGGTACGCTCTGATTTGCTGGGGAACAGACGGAAGCCTTACGGAATGCGGAGAAAAGGGATCTCCGAAGGTACCACCGAGGCGGGCGCTCTCCCGGCTTCCATCGATAGCTTAACCTTATCTTATCAGTCCCCACACGAAGCGAGCATCTTCCATCCTGCCGCCCAGACATCTTTCTGAAGATGTCAAGAGCCTCCCATTAACATCCTGTGGAGGTTAAAAGACATGTCTTTATACGAAGGCAGATATTCCAAACCAACGACGAAGAGGCGTTCATCTTGCGATTATCAGCTGCAACAGCTTACTCATTCCACAGTAACCGGCATGGCTGCCTATCGCGCCTGCGGTATCCGTCATCGCCTGCCTACATGCATAAAAAACGATGCAGGAGGCCGTCAATCTGGAGAATCGGGCAACAGAGGACTGTGACCTCACATCATATAGAATCATAAATAAGACTTATCACTGCCGACCGGGTGTCTACCACTCTACACTTTGTCTTCAAACCACATATAATTCTAACGATTGTTCTTACAAGTTCATCTTCATTCGTACTTTATCATCCATATTCGGTACTCAACTAGTGTTATTGATAGCAAATCTCTCGCCCAAAACAACATCGTCTAAAGCCTACCTTATTACACCGACGACACCACAAATAACCCCTCAACGTCTAATATAGGCCAAAGTGCGTTCAAAATAGCCACCAAGATTAACTCTGCTCCCACTCAGCGCATCACCCGCGGCTATGTGCGTTTTACACCCGGCCCTTCATATGGGGATGCTACTTCAGCTCTAAAGAAGATCCCGCGATACCTTTTCAGAGTCCATGCACCAAGCACCTCAGGTAAAACATCACTAAAATCTATCGTATCAAGAGCTGCTCTCTGTGGTCACGCTAGATCCGACTGCGACATATTCTCGATGCCCCGGACGAAGCAGCCGAGATGCTCAACTGCCACCTTCGCGGTTAGGCTCGGGATGGTGACAACCTCATGTCTTGGACGAGCTCATTACTTTTCGCCCTTCAATACGCACTGTATCGCAGCATCATGCCCAAAAACGGGCGTCCCGACGACCCGTCCGATATCTGGATCTATATCTTGGACACAAGACTTTTGCCTGGAGGTTCCTTTATTTCCGACGTTGCGCTCCTTGACGCATTCACTGGGAAAGACGCAGCACGCACGTATAATCTATCTAAGCTGCGATATTTGAGCCAAGAAACTCAGTACAAATTTGGGGAATACTTGTGTCAAGGGAAGCTATCGATTGAAGGCGCATGCTCTTCAGCCTCTCTCCAAAGTACCATCAATCATGGCCTTTTCAGGCTCTGACCCGAGCTCGGGCTGCCGAACAAGAATCTCGAACTGGCAAAAAAGGTCTGCAGGCTTCGCGTCCAATGTTTCGCTTCACCCACGCCGGCGACGAAGGCCGACTTCAGCTCTGCCAGCTCCATTGCGCAGGGATGTTTCGGAGCGGAAGACGAATGGGCACTTCCAATGACAGCCGCATTACTCTCTCTGCGGAAGCGACCGATAAACGATGTTGTAATCATTGACGGGTTCAATGCCCTATTCTCGGATATGTAGTGTTGTCGCCTTGGTGTAACAAAGCCACTGACAAACCATTGGGGTAGATCAAGAGATTTGCGAATACAACCTCGATACCTTCAAGACCTTTTCCCTTGATACACACCCGGAAATCAACCAATTCTCCAAGATTATCCAAGATATTCATAGCGACTACTGCGCCAGAGCTCTTGATTCTGTTCTCGTCACTGCCGCCAAGCTGTCGCGTGAGTACAGAGGTTCTTCATTCTAACGTGATTCATTCTGGCTAATACATCACAGTGATTTCCCTCTGACCGCAGATGTACCTTCACAGTACCAGCTCTACGTTAACCCAGACCTGAGTTGTTCTTCGTAAGAAACAAATTTGCTTGACTCTGCTATCGCATTCACCTGAATCTAAGTCTCTTCTGAACCGCTCAAACCCTCCGTCGTCGTCATCCATGTCATCTTTTCGTCAACCTTGCCCGATTTGCGCTCAAGATACGCCGCCTCAATAGCCTCTAGACTCTGGCTCTTCGTCTCCGTCATCCAAACTGCGCAGACGACAACGCTTACCAGCGTACATCCGCCGTAAAAGAAGTACGGCCCCGAAGATGAGGCAGCGAGAAAGGGCGGCGCCGTCAGAGCAACAACGAAATTGGCCAACCAGTTGGCAGCCTGTCCCAGCGCCGCACCGCTAGACCTCGTCTCGCGCGGGAGACTCTCAACCAGGAAGGCCTTGATGCAAATAGCCCAAGTGCCATTGAAAACGACGGCGAAGAGGTAGATAGATACAATCACCACCCACCGTCCGGCACCCCCATCGACACGGACCTGGTTGGCGGCGTACAAGGAACCCATCAGGAACATGAGAATGGCGATGCCAGTCCCTCCTACTATGGTACAGGTCCGACGGCCCCAGCTATCTGTGAAGATGGTGGCCAGGATAGTGACTACCATGATCACCAAAGCCAGGATTCCCGAACAGAGGAATGTTGTTTCCTCTGAGAGACCTGATTGACGGAACAGTAAGGGGGCGTAATACAGAATTCCGTCGATGAAGCTGGTCTGCTGGGCAGCCATCAAGAAGCATCCAAAAGCAGTGCGAGAGCGGAAGGGCCTGGACAAAGCTTTCCGGAAGTCATGGATCGTCGCTCTGACGGTGTCCGCCATGCTCATGTTGGGAGGATGTACTGCGGCTGCTGCTGCCTCCTGAACGCCCTTGGACGCCAGCATCTCCCGCTGCTCCTCCTCGCTGATGCCTAGCTGTGTAAAGACAAGCCGAGCCTTGTCGACTTGACCCTTGGCCACCAACCATCGAGGCGACTGCGGCACAAAAAGCGTCGTCGCAGCGAGTCCAAATCCCAGAATCGCCTCAACAGCCAGCGGCACCCGCCAAGACGCCGACGAATCCGCCACACGACGCGTTCCGTAGCAGATGAAATACCCCAGGGATAATCCCACCGTAAGCATGAACTGTGAGAACGCAACCCAGAAACCTCGCGTCTTGGCGGGCGTGATTTCGCAGATCTGCACGGCGACGGTGCTGACGAAGAGTCCCGTACCGAGACCCTTTACGGCGCGGCCGGCGATGAACATTGCGAGGTGGACGGCACCGCATTCGATGGCGGCCCCGAGGCCGAAGACGGCGGCGCCGGTAGATATCATGGCGACTCGGCCGAGTTGGTCTGCTAGCATGCCTGCTAGGAGGGCGCTGATCGTGCCGGTTATGAGAAGGGTTGAGACGATTGCGCCGTGGAGGATGGCGGAGAAGTGGCCGAATGAGGTCTTGAAAGTCTCCATTGCTGTTATGGGGCCTATGCTGCCAGTGTCGAGCCTGAGAGGTGAAAGTTAGCTGAAAAGCCTGGTTGAAACGAAGGAGATCTGCAGACAAGACTCACCCCCACAGCATCAGACAGGCTCCCGTAGCTATAGACGCCCTGGCATAGAGCGGCGGCATTCTGTACTGTCTCATTGTGATCGAGGCTCACGATCTAGAGACGGTGATGGGCGAGATAAATGCTCTGTAGCATAGACCAGCGAGCGAACCGTAGCTTTCCTTCCTCAGAACACTCAAAAGGTTCTTATACTGGCTTGGTGGCTGCATGTTGTGCCCATCTTGATATCGTGCTATTCTCCTTTCGGGTATGAAGCCCACCGGGTTTGCCATCTTGATGAAAAATCCGATAGACAGCCCGCAGGCGGGAATGGTTACTGGGCCTTCACAGGGTCATGCTCGCCGAGAGTCTGTTGTCTCACGCGTGGGCTATGCAGTGCAGGTTTTTTGACAATGATACGGCTCGGCTTAGTTGCCATAACTCAAAATCCGCCCATCGAGGGTTCTAGATTTGTAAGTTGTTAGCATCGTTGAGTTTAGCTGCCTCTCGTCTGAGACCAACTGGCAAGCAAGCTCACTGAGCGCTCTGTCGGCAAAATTGCCAGTTGAGGTGGGAACATTCGGTCCATCCCGCGCCATCGGCAATAAGCGTCAGACCCTTCTGGCCGGTGTCTGAGTAAGGTAACTTTGCCGAAAGCCTGACTCTGATCTTTAGACGGATACACTCTCCTTCCCAATGAAATTTTACTATACGGTTGAATTTTTAAGCGTCTCGTCTCGTTGGTTGCGCTGACTTGGTCGACGAGGGACCTAATCAGCTCTTGATGACGCTAATCACTAGAGCTGACGGAAAATGATAGCATAGAACGTTCGTTTGACTCTCTGCCTGTCAACGATAGTACACCCTCGAAATCAAAAAAGGTATCCCCCCCACCTTTTCATGTTCCACCGGAACCATCCGCCGGAAAGATTTCCCCTCTTGTCACCCACCACATTGAGCCCTGGGATCTCTTCCCTTATGACATGTTATCTCTTCGCCTTTGAACGTCACATTTGCTACCTACCTTACGACTAACAAGGGATAATTCCTTGAACTAACCGCGTCCAGCAGAGCTCCCCTCTCCCTCGGTCGAGACCGTGGTCGAGGCCTTTTTGGCACTCTCTGGACCATAGCGTAGGTATCATGCGCTCGCATCATGGGTGGTGGGTTGCTACCTTCAATCAGAAACGCGCATTATCTTTACAACTTCAACAAACAGCTTGACATGCCGGCAGCGAAAACTAAAATGCAACGAGGCACGACCCGCTTGCGGGCAATGTACCAAGTCTGATCGCGAATGCATCTTTTCGCAAGACACAAAATTTCGTCATTTTGATCGCTCTCTTCTTTGTCGAGGACAAGACAAGGCTTCTGCAGGTCGTGTTGTTGTCGAGAATCTGTTCGAAGAAGATCAAACCTGGCTCGATATTCCGCATGAACGTGGGTCGATGTGTGTCTGGAATCTAGCGTTGATGTTGTGACTAACCAACCGCTTCAGTTGTCTTTGTGAATATTACGAACCCATTCGAGGCAGACGACGACATCTCCGACGATGATTTTCTTCTGCAGCATGACAGTTATAATACTGAAGGAGGACCATCTGATGAATGGGGTCACACGCTGTCAACATCCGAACCTCGGGATGCGGAGAGTGGGAGAACTCCGGCCTACACATCGCGGTCGGAAGGAGTTTCTGAGTTCGCTCAACAATCCTCTGAGAATCTCCGAAGGAATAGCGATGTTGTGCAGAGCAGACCTGTTACTGCATCTGTTGGGAACGATGATGTATTAAACCCAGTGGCCCTCCCATCACCCACAATTCAAGCAGATGACGACGAAGATTTGGACGACAACGGCGACGACGATGATTCAGAGATGAACATAATAGCTTTAAAGCTTCTGAGACATTTCAGACAAGGACCTGGGCAGTGGTAAGCCCTCTTCTCTTCATATCCCTCTACCTTCGGGCTGTACAGCTACTAAAATGTGGGCGGTAGGATGGACCTATTTGATACATCTGCGCATTTCTCATGCAAAATACCAATAAGAGCAACGACTCGGCCGCTTCTCAAATCGGCAATCTGCGCTCTCGCAGCAAAGCACCTATCGCGCACACAGTCAAATGACAACGAGATCCGACAGACCTGCAGCGCGAGAGCTTCGGCGGCTCCCTCGGCTACGACACCTCCCGACTGGCAATACCACGCCGTCCGACACTATCATCAAGCAATCAGACATTTAAAGCACGCAATCACTCTCGCCGGAGCAAGGTACGATGCGCTACATAGCGAGACGAGCGACCAACATGCGGATACTTTTGCCGCAGTTGCCATACTTTGCATGTACGAGTTGATGAACGCCCCAGGGATTGCGTGGAAGGCGCATCTCACGGCTCTGTCACTGTACTCTGCCTCAGATAGAGCTCTGGGAGGATCTTCTCCGGTCTCGATACCGCAGTCTCCGACCAAGGGGCCAATATTCTGGAGTCTGGCAAGGCAGGACTTCCTCTGTGCTTGTAAGCTTTTCAACACATACACTGTCGTGGCCAAAAGGCTAACATCTGCGCTTCGAAAGTCATAAGCGAAACCCAGACGCGTCTCAACTTGGACCACATCCGTCTTTGGCAAAACTTTGGCCTTGCTACAGACGAACGCAACCTCTTACTCCCCTTCAGCCCCTTTTCGACGGCCGATATCCGCTCCTCGACCAACGTGGATGAAGACTCAAAAAGCAACGAGCTTTTGTGGCTCCTGGGGAAGATTGTGAATTACATCACCAACGGGGACGGTATTCGCCCGGAAGACTATTCTAAGCCCGCCGGCCAGCGCATGTCGCTCGGTCTGACGCAGGAACTCCTCCTGGGAAGATGGACGAAGCTTGAAGTCGAATTACAGGAGTGGTATGAGAGTCTACCACCGACCTTTGTGCCCAGCGCCCGGACAAGATTCTCTAGTCGCCACGGGGATTTGGGTGATGATGAGACGGATATGGACATGGAAAGAGTCTGGTACGACATTCCGATGTGCGCGTCGACGATGCAAAGCTACCATATGGCTCAGATTCTTTTGCTGGTGAACCGGCCCCAAGAATCCACGGCCATACGGTCGACCGTGTCGGCGCGTCTGCGATCGTATCGACTCATTCAGAAAGGGGTGCTGCGTCATTGCAAGGAGATTTGTGGGATTAGCCTCGCGGATCCTACTGATGCGGTGCGTGTTCACTCTGTCCAGCCGCTTTTCGTGGCAGGGCAAGCCTTTTATACGCGACCGGAACAGGAACTGGTACTGGAGCTACTTTCTGGTATCGAGACGGAGTTGGGGTGGGCTACGAACCATCAGAGGCGGAAGTTGATTGACGAGTGGAAGGTGAATGATGGATGAGAAACCACGAGTAGAATCAAGATGACGCTGTATTCTCAAAATGCTTCCGTGGCCCCAGTAGCAACATGGCCAGCTGGATAGCATGGACCTCTTGGCTTCGCAAGGTGGACAGCATATGATTGACGGCTAAGATTGCAGGAGGTGAGCATGGCTTGGCGCTGCTCTAATCAGACATGCGCTATTTCAAGAGCGGAATAATATCGTTAGAGAATCCACCAAGGAAGGGCGAGAACCACGGATAAGAGACCACATCGCTGGAGAAACGTCCACATAGCGTGAATGCTGTGGTTTAGCCACGAATCAACTCCTGCTCCCTCGCAGCCTCATACACATGCCCGCGGGTTCCACGGAGTCCAAAATGGCAGAACTATAGATTCCGTATGTTCTGCAAGAACTTGCCAGGCCTAAGTTCTTCAATTTCAACAACTTTGCTATGGATGACTGTACCAAGTAGACCAAACAGGGATAGACTCCACTTGAAATCTACATCTATATTATCCAGGTGGCTCTATATGCCAGACAGGCGAGCCTTTCTTCATTGCTCGACCGGACATCCCTTCGAACTTTGATTCACTATGTTCATCTCCAAAACACTGCCAGCGGCGCTCCTTGCTGGTCTCGTTGCCTGTCAAACACTCAACATTCCCAGCCGAAGCGGTTCCATCATCTCACTACCGGCGCCGAGTGTGATATCTGGGTCTAGGGATTTTGGCAATAAGGAATACGATCGCGGACGCTCATGCAATACCGATGTTGAGACTTCAGGTGGGCACCCCGTCTTCATACTTGAAAATGGCGCCACTATCAGCAACGTCATTATCGGTGCCGGCCAGGTTGAAGGAGTTCATTGTAAAGGTGCTTGCACGCTGAAGAATGTCTGGTTCCGACAGGTCTGTGAAGGTGAGATGTTGTCTCCGTGGACTGGACCATGGCAAAGTGAGTTTCGAGAGAACGAATGCTGACCTCTACGCGATGATACAGATGCCATAGTGATCAATGGCAATGGCGATATCCTCGTCGAGGGAGGTGGTGTCCGCGGAGGTTACGGTAACACGATCTCGCACTTAGGCCGAGGAACAGCCACAGTCAAAGATCTTACGGTCATCGATGTGAATCGTCTTTACCGTTCATGCGCCAACTGTGTGAACAACGGCGGTCCGAGGAATTTGGTAGTAACCAACTTGAAGGCCAATAATGTCAAATTGCTTGCCGGCATCAACTCAAACTTTGGAGATGTTGCAACAATATCTGGGTCCTGCGGTACCGGTGTCGCCAAGGTCTGCCAGGAGTATAAGGGTGTTGAAAAGGGCCAGGAGAGTCCCAAGGTCACCACGACTGCAAATTGCAGAGGCCAAGCGACCCTGGATATTTGCTAGGTAGCAGGGAGGATTCGGGCCATATCGGCGTGGATGGACATAACTCCTGTTCAAGATGACCGGTGCCTTACTTACTTTACTGCCATAATTACTCATCGTCTTTCATCAGTTCGAAACCCCCACCCCCTCATATCATACAAAGGCTCAATATGAGCGATGTGTTGATACGCAAGTGAACCAGCATGATAGGGCAATTGTATGTGGGGCTCCGCTGCGTACCTCAAGCTCTCAACTTGCCTTAGGGGTGGTAAGCTAAGAGTCTCCTCATTTCTCTCAATACAGGAGTGGCACCACAGCACGACAGCGGCCTGTATGTTGTTGAAGCTAGCAAGATGTTATATAATTCTCCCACTGGTGTTGGAGTCGCAGGTTCTAGAGTGATCTGAAAGCCGGATTATGTTGAGTTGCCTTGATCAGTACATGTACAGAATGGTTGCTGCGGTATGATGGGGGCTGGTGTTGTTCGCGGGGAAATGCGGAGAAGCCGACGCAGATTCGAGGATCTCAATTCTTCCGCCGGTCTCCTAGATGGAGACCTCCGCAATTCGGATAGATCTACGACGAGCCGAGAATTCATCCCGTCGATCTTGGAAATTTGCTAAGCGGCTGCAGTTAGATATGTCGCGCATACAAGAGGGATTTGTCTTGCACTTTTCCCAGCGTCGATTTCGTGGAAAACATAAAAATAGCAGTGAATCAACAAAGAGGCCAAAATTACTGAGGGATGAGAGCTTTCTTGAGCCTTGTTGTGTTTGGCTATTTCTCCAGCCTCTTGGCTGGAGTTATTGGATGTCGAACGGATGACGACTGCAGTCTCAACGGCCTTTGCGATCAAAATTCCTCCTGTGTCTGTGACAAAGGATGGCGTTCTTCCGACTGTAGCGAACTGGATTTGCAGCCAGTCGAGCCTTGGACCGGGTACAATCACACGAACGCGACAGGATCAGACTTCTACAAGGAGGGCGCCGGAAACTCTTCCTGGGGAGGTCACATCATCCAAGATCGCGAAGACAAGGGCCTCTTCCATCTCATTACGTCGCAAATGTCACACGGCTGTGGTCTCTCTGGTTGGCGGCCTTTCAGCACCATAATTAGAGCCGAGTCTCGCACAGGGCCGAGAGGCCCGTATAATTACGCCCAAACATTATTCAGCACTTTCCACCACAATCCCACAACTATTTGGAGCCCAGCGGATGAAAAGTTCTTGATCTATTTTATCGGCAAAGACGTCGAGGTTGGTGACGTTTGCAAATCCCAGAAGTGGAACAATACGATCTCGGTTTCCTCGTCGCCGAATCTTAGAGAATGGACGACACCAATCCCGCAGGTTATCAACGTCACGAACCCTGCACCGTGGCCGCTGTGGACGGATGAGGACCCCACGCACGAGATCCTACTCGCTGTGGAGAAGAACAATATTTACCACGCAGACAACTTCTCTGCACCCCACGAGCTTGTTGTTGAACCGCGAAACACGGAGCGCAGTGAAGATCCATTCCTTTGGAGAGATAAACGAGGACACTGGCACATTCTGGTCCACCACATGGTCGATATCGCGGAAGGCAGAAAAGGGCCGCGAGTCGGAGCACATGCTTATGCTCGCAATTGGGAGGGCCCTTGGATCTACAACAATAATACCTTGACGTACAACACAACCGTTGAGTTCACCGACGGCGTCAAGTTAGACTACTATCGCCGGGAGAGACCAAAGTTGTATTTCAGCGATGATGGGCAGATGACTCCGCTTTACCTACTCAACGGGGTGCAAGAGTTCAATAAGTCCGGGAGCTATACCTTGATTCAACCGATTGGCAAGGAAGCAAAGGATTTTGAAAGAAGTTTTGGATTGAATTAGAATCGCGTTGGGGAATGGACTCCTTCTCAATATGCATTTTGTGCTAGTTGCAGTTTGTTGTAGGAGATCAACCCAAACTTTTTGAGTGACTTGTCAAAGCCCTGAAATATTGCATGTTGAAAGTCGCCATCCCATCCCGAGCAGTCAGGCGAAGAAGTGGGCCCATGGCTTTGCGGATCGGAAAACAAGGCGGTGCGTCAATGCTTTGATATCATGACTAGCAACAAAGATAGACGCCTTTAACCTTCTGGAGAACCACGCGAGGACCACGATGGTCAGGCGGATGGAGCCTTCTTGGCACGGACAACTCGGATCTCCTTGTGCCCCCCAATCAAGCAGGCTACGGGATACTTGGCAGTCGTCCAGTAACAGGTTGAAAGTTGTGGACCAAATTGGACCAAAACGGTGGTGAAGGCTGGGTTATCAATCATGGACACGGGAAAGAGTGTAACCTTGGACTGACTCGGTCGACACCAACGGGCCCACACAGAAAGCCGCAGCTAAATGAAGGTTCTCAGCCCGCCAGACTAGGCGTCGCTAATTCTGGACATTGGACAGCTTCAAGAACCACATCAAGGTTTAGCTATAGGGCTTGGTGTGGCAATCAATATGCCCGGCGGAAGACGCAGGTAATCAGCCTCGGTTCCGGTTTGGCGGCTTTCGAGGCCAGATCACCCCAACCTCATTCGACTGATGTCAAATGGTAGCATTTACTGATCTTTTGATAGCACCAGTGGTTCGTCTCATTTGTCATGACCCCTGTATGTTGTAGACTTCGGACCCGATCAGGTTTCCGAACGCCGCGCGCGTGCTGCGGACCTGCAGTCAGGATTAACTCATGCGATTCTTCAATCCACTGGAAATTGGATCTGGCCTAGCCCGAGTTTGACACTTTCTAGGATCGAGTCGGTTTCAAAAGCCGCCCTTTTCCCTGTCCTTGTTGCTGTTTGTGCCAACTTACTTCCATCAACTTCATTTCACCAAAGATCATAGACGGCAACCAGGGAAGCAGGTCTTCATTGCCAGCATTCACTTCAGCTAGTTCATTCGTTACTGGTATGATGACCGTTCATTGAGGGCCGAGAAGATTTCAACTAATAACAAGCCGTAGTCATTCGTTGCAACATGCGTTCTACCGCCTTCCTTCCTTTTCTCAGCCTCCTGAGCAGTGCCTTTGCCGCTCCCGTTGCCACTGTTTTAGACTCTCGCGGAGAAGTTGGCCACGACGCTCTTAGTCCTCTCGCCCAGAAAGTTCAGGATAACACTGTCGGCAAAGCCATCGCACGATTCAACCCGCTCCTCCATATCGCTCATGGGTGCCAGCCATACACTGCTGTTGATGATGCCGGAGACACAAGGTACGTGTCCAAGGAGTTTTTCACAAAGATAAAAGGTTGACGATTGAATCAGCGGTGGTCTGAAACCCAGCGGCAGCTCTACTGGAGGCTGCAGAGACACCAGCAAGGGCCAGACCTACGCCAGAGGCACATGGCACAACGACAAGTACGCCATCATGTATGCTTGGTACTTCCCCAAAGACATGCCAAACGATGGCGTCTCCACCGGCTCTCACAGACACGACTGGGAGAGCGTGGTGGTTTGGCTCAACAACCCCTCTGTTGCGGACCCGACGATCCTGGGTGGAGCTGCTTCCGGTCACGGCGACTACAAGAAGTCGACTAATCCGCAACGGGAGGGTGATGGTGTGAAGGTGGAATACTTCACACAGCTGTTACTGAACCATGAGCTTCAGTTCACTGATACCACCGGCAAGACATACCCGGTCCTTGACTGGGACGCTATGTCGACGAACATGCAAACTGCTCTCAACAACACCGACTTTGGCAGTGCCAATGTGCCTTTCAAGGACGAGAACTTCACCGAGAATCTTGACAAGGCTTCTATCTAAGTACGATGTCGAGCTAAGACGAGTTTGAGGGCTGCATGGGAGCCAAAAGTCTGACATGCACAGTTCATCAATTCTTATGTCCATATTCAGTCTCACGATGTAAATAGTTCGATCAGCAAGAACAAGTAACGAGACAAGGATAGCAAGCATCATATACAACAGCACATGGTCATAAACATTGAAGACGGTCTCATTCAATTCTCATTGCCTATAGTCTGGCATGGCTGGACTATTTACCTCAGGCAACCAGTCGGCTGTGCCTGATGCTAAAAGTCATGAACATATGCCATCGTAGTATCTTAAACATTCCGAGGACCATCGACAGCGGCCGCTGTCGTAGTCACATCCACCGGGGTCGCGACTACTTTGTTGTCTTCGACAGCAGAGTCTTCCGCCTCTAGTTTCGTGTTGTCGACAGGTCGCTCTGGCACAAGCAGAACGGCCCACGATGTCGCAGGAACGCAGACCACAAACATGACAAAGGCAACGATGAGATTTACCATTGGCGAAACCTTAACGGCACCAATACCGAAGGCTAGGCAGGAGCCAATGGACTCGAATGATCGGACAAGACCAACGCCGAGTGTTAGAGTCTCGATATCGTCAAAGAAGGTACCCATGATCCAGTACACAAACATGTAGTGCGACTCGTTCATGAAGCTGCGAGTCGTTAGTACTGGCTTGAAAAGATCGATAAGGTACGGAACATCATTGAACTTACCGGAAGAGTACATTGACCGCAAATCCACGTCCGAATCCAGGGGTGCTCCAATCGAGGGTAACTTTGGGAACAGTGTCCTCATAGAGCTTCTCGTTGGCCACTTGCCATGCGAACAAGCCCAGCATGATGACTGAGAAGCAGGACCAGGTAATCTTGGCGAGCTGGGGTCGACTAAAGCACTTCAGGTCGTAGAACCAGCCCCAGAAGATGTTAGCAGCAGATGCAGCAATACCAGATGTCAAGGCGCCAAGGGTTCTCGCTCTGACCGAGAAGTACTTGGTCAAGTAGATGCCCTGGTACGTGCTGTTCCAGTTGAAACCGACGAGGATGGGAATCAAAAGGTAGAACTGCTTCTTCTTAAGCAGCTTCAGCCACTTGCGGAACTCTCCCAGGACAGCCTTGTTCTTGGTAGGGTCGGCAACCTTCCTGCCATCGCTGTGAATGACTTTCTGAGGGGGAGACACGAGCAACGCCAAGGGAAGACCGAGGCATTGAAGGGCGATCAAGACCAGGTAGGTCGAGTAGCCGACCTTTCCGCGCTGATTCTCCTTGACGTTCAGCGAGAGCTGGATGGCAGCGCCGAGAAGCTGTCCGAGCTCACGCAGACCAAGCCAGATACCAGTGAACTTGCCTCTATCTTTGATGTCGGCGTATCCCAAGGCAATGGCACCTTCAGCTGCCCATAACGCAGATGCTGCGATGCCACAGGTAGCGCCACCAAACAGCACGAACCACTCTACACCGTAACGGTTGTTGACGTACATGGATGCCGAGTAGGGTGCGTATCCAAGGGTACCGATGATCAGAACCGTCTTCAAACCGATCTTATTGGCCATGATGGCGAAGAAACTGCAACCGAAGACCATGATACCAAAGGTGAGTGAGTTGGAGCCATTGACGAGATAAGGCTCTTGCTGGCCACCAGCGCCGGTACCTTGAGGTATTGATTAGTCTGTGATTTCTCTCAGGCAAAGGGATATCGCATACTGTTGAGGGCATTCCAAATCCCAGGTTGAGTGAAGGAGATCAAGCCTACAAGGATGACGTTGAACAAAGGCGAGCGGTACCAGCGAGTAAATCGCGACACGGGCTTCGTAGGTTGAACATCCTGGACCTCCTCATCGACCTCATGTGGTTGCTTTGCTTGATCGATTGACGACATTGCAGCTGATGTTGCTTTTCCGATCCCGACGCAATGGATAAAGGTCATGCAAGTGCGGGAGGAAATGGGGTCCGTTCGATGTCGAGCTTTTAAGAAATTGCCGATTCCTTCGGTCTCTGCATCGCTCTACCCTTGTTGTCCTGCGGGATATTCATTCCTCCCTCTACATAGAGAACTCCCCAAGCGGGCAACCTCCGTGATGTAGCACCAGTTTGATTTTTTTCTTTGTGTCTGCTCCTTGGAACCCCCCACCCCGGTTTCTGGACTCTGCAGCTCGTCAGATACCGAGTCCAATTCAGATTGGTTGGGACCGGCTGCCAATGGGCTGGAATAAGCCTGGTTCGCGTGGCGTTATCGTAATTCGTAATGAGGCAATCCTGGGCGGCGCTCATCGTCGGACGACCTATCCCTGATGCAGGCCGCCGGCGCGGGCGCGGTTCGTCGGCGCACATGCGAAGAAAAAACGTGGATTGGAGCCTTTGACCATGGATGGGGTCGGTATTGTGTCCGACATCGCGTCGTGCTTACATGGGTGCGATGGCGACATCTACAAGCGGATTCCGGAACCCCACAGCTCGCCATCCGAACCGGGATAAGGATGGAAGACGACTAAGCAGCAATGAACTAGACGTTAAAATCCAGAAACAAAGAAGCTCTTTCAGATCGGCATTATATGAGAACACAGTCTATTTCAACGTCCATCTGTGGACCACATCCCATCGGTGAGCAGCGAATTGACCAGAATGGGATTGAACGCCGGGCATCCGACTACAGCTACCCGGCCCCGCTATGGACCCGACGGCTCCGTGTCCGAGCATCACCGAGACTCCCTTCAACTTGGCGAATCACATTCAGACATCAATGTGGATCAAATATATCGTGGTCAGCTTTGAATGATAATCCATTTTCTATAATTCTCTTGCTGATCATTGGTCGAGCTAGCATGAGACGGTGCGCCTCCAAGAAGTTAGAACTAGACGCAAGTATTTGATTGTAAGTGAATTATTGGCTGATCATGAACATTTGCCTGTGACCTACTATGATGGCGGACATGAAAATAATACGTGTGCGATGGAGAGGTACGTGCTGCACAAGTAACTTTTGATAAAGCTCATAGCGACTTCCAATAGCCGCCCATATGGCAAAGCTGTTCACACATCATGGAATGAGGATGGAAATAAATCAGACGACCCTGTATCTGAGACCCTCAAGCCCATGAAACCCCGTATTACAATTCAGATCAATATGTACGGTCTGGAACTAAGCCTCGGATCATTTGAGACAGTCAATTGGTACAAGGCAACATTCTATCATGGTATGGTGCGTATGGGACTCCATTTGACAAGGGCTGAAAACCGTCAATTGAGATCGAAAATATTAAATTATTACGAAGCCTAAGTACTATGAAAATCAATTTCTGAGTACAGCGTTTGTTGGGAATGCCGAAAGTGTGGCGAAAGACTCGACGAGCGCCTTAGGTGCCGGGCGCCTTGCAAAGGACTGCCAAACCAGCCTTGTATTTGGAAATTAGCCACAGCACAGTAAGAACCACGATTTTAAAACTTACAAGGCTGATAGTACAGCACCGGGCAATACGGTTCCCATCGATCAGGCAGGCAGCTTGAAACCCAAGAGTGGTGATGGGAGGCGTGACAGCTGTGCTCATTCATCAGCTTGAAAGGACTTACACTAGGCTCCTGCGAACCAAGGATCGATGTGGACATCTTACGTGCTACGCAGTTTGAAGAAACTACGCCGCTGATGACATCACCCGAGCAGCATACTGGAGTTCCTTGACAGACCGGGGCTAGAATGGAGAGTCTTTCAACAAGATTGGAGTCCGCGGGTGTAGCTGGAGCAGCGATGACGAGGGGCGAGAAAATCCCGAGGAGAACAGTCGAGGCCTTCATATTGGAGGGAAAAGGAGTTTCTTTCTTGCCAAAGACTTGAGAGTGTTGAAGAGTGAAAATGGAACTGCTGGAATTCCGGGTGGGCTGGGATGATGTTGGATGTAAACCTCTCAATCAGCGAGAAGAGAAAGGGTTTTTATAGAATTGCACGATGCCAAATATCTTTTCAATCACAATTACCGAATAATCTGCAGTGTTGAGAGCAGAAGCAAGAGCTCCGAATTCTCGTCACCTCGGACAAGGGAGAGGTACGCTTTCGTCTCCGCCAAGGGGTCTTCAATATCCGGAGAGCCAAATACACGGGCGCCTCATACCGCATATTGTGATAGTGGACCAGATGATCACTGCGGGGACTCGCCGGTTGGGGAATCTTTTGCCTTTGAATCCCGTTGACGGGCCGCATCCGGGAGGCTGAACGATGTTTTGGCTCCACCACCGTCATCCCAACGGCTCTGGACCCGCAGCCAGCTCCCTGGACGTGGGCCTGGATCTTATGTGACCCCATTGAGGTTTTATCTGAGAATTAAACTTGTCAAGTTCTGTTCTCAAAAGAATAAATCCGTATTCAATAAACTATCACACAAAACGTATTGGATGCATAGGAAGAGTGGGACTTCGTGGAGGACCAGACGTTGGTAGCAGAACGAGCGCGAACCATTCTCGTAATTTGAGGGAGGCACAAATCAACCCCAAAGCATCATGCGCGAATTGCGGACGGTCCCGGTCTCTTTAAAGGGCCATCCGATTGTCCTAGTGCCTTCCTCCCCGTCTTCTCATCGGGAGTTCGACTATTCGGGAGGTGGCTTCTAACTAACATCGGATACCCCACTCACTTGTCTCGGCGTTGTGACCGAGAACAGTAATTCAGCATCCAGCCAAAGTAACGGCCGCAATTGCTAGTTTATTTGTCGTTGACCATGGCGGGACATTTCGTAAATAGCGGAAAGCCAATGGACTTACCGTTTTTCGTGGTAATACTGGGAGACATTGATGCTGTTGCGGAAGTGAACCTTGGGAAGACAGGTGGCCGAACTGTTGAGGTAATTGGACTATATCCTGGAAACGAAAAGTCTTCTCCGTATCTTGTGTGCACTGTATCACTCTTCTGAGTCTCATTTTCATCGGCATTCCACTTCTGCTAATAATAATGGAGAGAGTATAACGCAGTATTTGTTGAACCTATGCATATCGACGCTTGCAGCTTGACAGGCCAAGTATTGAAAAACTACTCAGATCAGCCTTTCAACATCTGTTCGAAAGTCACGTGCTTTAAGTGTATGTTAGTTGACCAAGGTGAATCAAAAACGACTTCGTCTGAATGGTTGTCGTCTTCAGCCCCTTTCACGCCCCGATCCGTTCAGATTCAATAGATGTGATGTTCAATTCTGTTTGTATACATTTGTGTTCAGAGTGCAATACTCACGCATCTACAAGGCTCAGTTGGAGTTTGTGCCTTGAGACCTGAGAACCATGAATTTGACTTCTACGGTTATCGTCTAGTACTCTGACTTCGCAATCAACTTTAGCCTTGCTTACCTATGCTTCCATTCCATTAGATATGGATCAGCCAAACACGTTGAGGGCACAGCTAGACCCGGCAACGTCCAGCCCAAGAGAAGAAGTTCAGGAGGCACATAAAGAACGTCTTAAGGGGGGGGGGGGGTCCTACCAGTGCGAATATCAACAGCAATGAGGAATAGAAGACGGGAAGGAGGTAAGATTTGCTGTTTTCTCTTTCTTCTCTATACATTGGTGCTTGAGTGGAAAGTGCGGGCCAAGGCCCTTTCAGCGAGCCCTGAGAAATACCCGCAGTTTTCTACCATGGATAGTTAGGCGTAAGACAACTGGGTACGGTAGATTGTTTTCACAGATGCTTTCCCGCAGACCTCATAATAACCATACGCAGCCTCCACATGGTCTAGTACCAGCCTTGCAACCCAATAGTAAATCGGCTCTGGTCCTTCTCAAGGGTCTCCTTCATCGCCACCAGCTCCTCGATATCCCAATTCGCGTGAACAAATCGCCCATTCAAGAACTTGGCTTCCTCGCTGAGAGCCCACACGACAAAATCCCCGGGCAGGGCAATATCGTCGTACGTGAGCCCAAACTCCTCCACGGTCGGCGCAAACTTCTCCGACATGACCGTGCCGCCAATGAGACCTGGGTGCACCTGAAGCACGAAGAAACCCGGGTTTTCATCGCGGAAGTACTCAAACAATTTTGTCGCACCGCTCTTGGAGGCGCGGTAGGAGGAGAAGCCAAACATGTAGGGGAGATGGATGGCGGCCGTGGAGATGTGGATCACCGCAGCATTGGTTTTCGCGACGGGCTGAAATGCGCGGAGGAGGTTGAAGTTGCCGCGGACAGAGATTTCAAAAGCACGCCACCAGTCGTCGGGTTCGGAGTCGGCGATGGTCTTGAGGTCGGACATGTAAGCTGCGTTGGCAACGAGGATGTCAATCTTGCCTCCATTGACAGAGCTGGCAAAGGAGGCGACTGCGTTGGTGGTTGCCTTGGCGTCTGTGACGTCGACAGTGTAGAGAAACACCTTTGCCTCTGAGTTCAGGGCTTCGACGGCCGTCTTTGTCTCCTCGAGGGACTTGAATGTGCGTCCTAGTAGGCCGAGGCTTGCGATGCCCGACTTTGCGAGAGATTTGGCGATGGAGGCGCCGATACCTGCGCCACCGCCCGAGATAAAGGCACTTTTCCCTTTGGTTGAGAGTTCTGGGCGAGACGGGGAAATTGCGGCGTATGGCTGCGTACAGTAAATTTTGGTGGGAGCAGGGAAAGACATTGTGGTGACTTTTTCGGGTCTTGGAATGGTCTCTTGAGTTTCTGATTCCTAAAGTCTTGAAATGAGAGTGTAGCCTAGAGGTGGGGGGGGGGGAAACCAATATCTAGCCGGTCCTTCGGTTCCTTCATTTATGTATTCAGAAATCAAGAAGCGGTGATGTTGATGTCGATATTCAACACATCATGTCTCCTGTTTGGGAGTAAGCATATTGCTTGGCTAAGCTCTTTTAGCGCCGCCTAGATTGGCTGATACTACGGGCAGCGAGGCTAAGGCATCATTGCCTTGTCATCAGCCAGTATTTGAAATCTCTGCTATTGAGCTCAGGAAAGAAGGGTTGTTACTTCTAGACGATACTTAGAACCGTCAACGTTGGAGGTTCGGACTCGGACCAAAGTTGCCAGGATTCACATCATTGGCGCTGGGCCGGACGCTGGGCCGAGTCGGATAGATAACGTTATGGACCGGCGGCGGCCGGAGTGGGCCCCGCGCCATATGCTGACACGATGCGCCCTGTCCCAGTTCTCGCTGATTAATCCTTTCTCGACGCCAACAAAGACAAAACCACCCATAACATTTCTCATCCGAGATAACGTTGACTCGGCCCATGGTTGAGCCCGGTCACTTGCTTTAACGACTGACACCCATAACGAGACCGTACCAAAAACAAAAAAAAAAAGGAATGAGTCCAGCCGACGCGGAGGTAATGTAACCCATGACCTATCCGCCCAGGCTATGGACATGATTCGCTAACTCGACCCAGGTCCGGCGTCGTGAGCGCGGTGTCATTGCCCAGCGCGAGTACCGCAAGCGACATGCTTCCAAGGTTCAGAAGCTCGAAGAGGAGAATAGAAATCTCAAGGATGTCATAGCCGAGATCAGTAGTGCTCTCAAGGGACAGCCCGCATCAAATGATCTGAGAGCCGCACTCCGCCGCGCACGAGAACTCGCCAATATCACTGAAGATGATGCCATGAATGACATCGACGATCACGATGTTGAAGAATTAGGACCATCACAATTACCACCCGATGATCTGTCCCGGACACCACCACCGCCGCCACCAGCAACAACCCAGTCCTCAATAGTGCCAAAAGACCCATCATCGACATCAGAACGGCGCCTCCGTGCCAGCGGCAGATCAAGCCCCCGTCTAGATTACGGCCTCTGGGTAGACACAGACCGCCTCATCCGCATCCTCGAACCACCGCTCGACATCGTCCCCTACCTCGGCCCGGGCATGCACACCCTCGCCGGCTGCATCTTCTGGTCCACCATGAACTACACCGTCGACCTCTGGGACGCCCGCCCCTCGCCTCCCGCAATCAAAGCCCTGGACCGCGTGTTCAGCCACTCCAAGCATCTCACCGACCGCAAGTATCTCCTATCGCTCGCCCAGGCGAGGATGGACTACAAGAACAAGGGGTACATGTTCCGCAAGCTCTCGGACCAGTTCGCCGAGCGTACCTGCACGCAGGTCTACCAGCTCGCCGGCGATGAGTGCGAGAAGAAGGGGAGGCCGGGCAGGTACTGGAAGACGCCGCAGGAGGTTGCGGGGAACATTCTCAGCCAGATTACGACTGATCAGGCTGTGAGGATGCAGGATGTTGCGGAGGGAAAGGGGACGTCCTCTGATGGGGAGATGATGCAGGGGCTTGTGGGCTGGCTGTCTCAGAACTTTGTGTGCTTCGGTGACGGGCCTAGATGGAGTACCGTCTGCGTCTCCGTTGGCATCGGAAGTTGGGTCAGAGAGCTCATGGACAGGGACGCTCGCGCGGAGGGAGAGGCAACATCTGGATCACACGAAACACCGTCTTGATTATTCCGCTTTATCTCCAAGAGTCCTCCACTTCAAAGCTCCATCCGCATGGCTCGCCGAGCCAAATCGCTTTGCCAACCCGGAGCATCCCATCCGTCTTCATCATACCCAGAGGAACTACGCCTCGTAGGAACATCCGCTATCAGCCCCACACACCCTCCATTATATCTTTTCGGCGGGTTGTCCGAAGCCTTACACCAGAAGAATGATCTCCTACCCTCGAGCCATTCGTTCTCAGCCAACGGCCCATCCCACGGCCTCTCCCAGTCACCCGCATAGAAAACGACCTTCTTCAGCAAATCGCCAACCTTCTTCTCCCGCAAGTGTCCCCACAGTTGCATGGCCGGTTTAAGCTCGAGCGGCGGCTGGGCCATGGACTCTACTCCGCTG